TCACTCACACTGAGCTGGTCCATGATTTAGTGATGCTACAGTATATGCACACGGGCATTAACTCTACTCAATCAAAGACATGCAAATGTAACTAAATGCTGTTACGCAAACAAAAGACGCACACGCATGTATACTCGCGCCTACACACACACACACACACACACACACACACACACACACACACACACACACACACACACACACACACACACACACCCACACACACATAGATACATAAACTTAGTTGGAATTCAACAATAACAGAGAAACCGATTTGCGTGCATGCTTATTTTATGTGATCTTTCAGTGGTATTTTCTACTGCAGATACAGGAAGTTTATATGGTGTAGTGTGGTTTTGTATGTGATGTGGTAGCAACACAACATTTGCAGGGAGAAGCACAATTATTACGCAGGTTTGTAACTATTTTGCTGTAAACACAACGCTTCACCTCTCTGTGTTTGTGGCTGAATGTTCTGATGTGGCTTTTGCTTCCAGGCAGTACGCTCTTAATCTGCACCAACCAACAACAATCATCGAGACCTTTCTTTCTAAATTCATTCCTTAGTACATGCATATGTCATTGTTTTTGTTTACATTTGTCAACAATGGTCTTTTCTTTTGTTTGGTTGTTTATTATGATCATTTTGTTTTCTGTTTTCATCCTGTGCAGTTGAGCATGTCTGCAAAGCCACCATCGCTCATGCACAAAAACCAAAACAAAAAGAAGTTAATGCTTTCCTGTAGTGGCTTCATGTATTTATTATGACTGGTGACTATGACTATAAGACTTCAAGGTTCCTGTTTGTTTCTTCAAATGAACTTGTTTAACCACAACATTGAATATTTCATCTCAGGCAAAACCTCAGTGACTGTAATTCATTATTTACAGCCATGAACTATTAGTACATATCCATACATTGTTATAGGGCGGTGCCTCCAAAAGCAGTGCTTTTATTTGACACTAAAATCCATATATGCATTTGAACGTACAGTATTAAATACAGCCAGGTCAATTGGCCACCGGGTGGGGTTTAAACCTCTTGGAACCATTGAAAAAGGGCTTTAGAAAAAAAAAATCACAAGGAAAAGAGCCTGCGCGGGAAGAAAGAAGCCCACCAGCCAGAAAGAAATGAATGTCAAATTTAGTTGCGTGATAAAGTGTTGTGTTAAATTAAGTAGGACAACGGGGTGAGTAAATTTAATGCCAAAAATGGTAATTCAGTAGGAACACTGAGAGCAGTTATTTCACTGCTTTTTTTTAGATACAGTATCTGTGAAGACTCAACTGAAACAATCAGGGACACCTGGGCATTTTTCTGAAAGCCTCATTGCTCAATAAAACATTCCATCACTTAAATTATTCCCATTTCAGTGACACATGTTTAGGGTGAAAGGATGGCCTTGTATCAAGTGTGCGGGCATCGTGATTTTCACACTCTCATCCGACACCCAACCCAATACGACAATACCGCTCTACAATAAAGCAGAAAGAAGCCTTTTATGAACTTGGCAATCATCTTCTTTTTACATACATAGGCTAGGTAGGGGAAAAGAGTACCGGTAGTAGGAGGAGGGGTGAGAAGAAAGAAGTGACACAACAAAAGAGATGAACAGGGGGTCCCAATAGGAGGAGAAGGAGGGGGGGGGTCTCCTAACAGTCTTTACGAAGGCTGTTTCCTCTCACTCTGGCTTTGATGTGCAGCGGTAGACCCAGATCTTCTCAAGTGCACTGATGGGGAAAGCGAAAAGTGTGTGTGTGTGTGTGTGTGTGTGTGTGTGTGTGTGTGTGTGTGTGTGTGTGTGTGTGTGTGTGTGTGTGTGTGTGTGTCAATGTGAACAGAGTCGAGGTAGGCGTAAAAAAAGCGAACTTGATGAGCTTCGGAAGTGCGGCTAAAAAGAGACACAGCTGGACTAAGGAGAATTTTGTGAGCCTCCTCTTATGTGCAACTTAAAAGGATACACACATTCATAAAAACACACAATGTTTCTCCTTTTTCACCCTTACCAGCACAGACACGGACCCAGACATGTGCACACAAGACCCTCTATATTCCCACATTTTTTGTCTTTCAAACACACACGCACGCACGCACGCACGCATGCACGCACGCACGCACACACACACACACACGCACACAGGTGAGGCATGTCACCACACAGAGCTTACCTTCCCCTTTGGCACATCGGCCAACACATCCACACATAAGGGGAAGGCAGGCATGTTGCTGCAGATAATGAACATGCACAAGCACACACAGTCTCACACACACACACACACAAACACACACACACACACACACACACACACACACACACACACACACACACACACACACACACACACACACACACACACACACACACACACACACATTCACTTTCAGATACACAAAGCCGTTTGATGCGACAAGTGGGAAACACTCTCGACAGTTGTCAGTGAGATGACAAGTTCAAAAAGCATCAGAAATTGTTCATGTTTATACATAACTGGTATGCTGCTCAAACTAATCTAATACTTAAACAACTGCTTTAAAATGGTAATCATGTTCACTGTGGATTATTTTCAGAGAGGCTTACTTTAAACCAGATTATTTTGAAGTTGTCGCTTGACGTGTTTCTAATATTTCATCACTTGATACACCCTAGTAAACATGTAGTAGTTATTCTACAGTTGAAAGTAGCTGACAGGTGTGTTAATAAAGCCACCTTTAACTGTGAATAAATGAAATAATTTAATGCCAACTACACACTGAGTCTGAGTGAAGAAAAAAAAAACAATATTACACTGCATACAGAATATGTTTTTAGATGGGCTCAACATCCATCCATCGATTCTCTGTACGGCTTCTTCACAAGAGGGTCACGGGTGAGCTGGAGCCCATCCCAGCTAACTTGGGCGCATCACCCTGGAATAGTCGCCAGCCAGTCTCAGGGCATATCCAAACAAACATTCTAAGTCAAATTTGCACCTATATGGACAGTTTTAGTTTTCAATTCATGAACCAAGGACCTTGTGTCTGTGAGGCAGACATAGGCACCGCTACGCACTGCGCCGCCCTGAGGTAAATTTTATTGAATTGTAGGTGTTAATGATAATTCGGGCTGCTTAGACAGAAATCCATACAGGCAAATGAACGTGACTAATTCGTATCTTTGCTCGTTGAGTTATGAGAGACAGCTGCTCAACTACTTACATTTTTCTTTCAAAGAGCCTCACTGTGCCATAAAATAAAGCATTCTTAAAATAGAGACCTGTTTAATAAGGCACATGACCCATGTAACCAGTAGGAGGTCCCTTTGGAAATATTTCAGTCCTTAGTGTGCGATAAATGCAGCCTGTGACTACCGCTGCTACTGTTACACCTCCAGGAAAACGAATCTCAGGAGGTCAACTCCCACATCATGGGCCAACAGTGAGCTTTGTCGCTGGGCTGTGGCCACTCTGCTCGAGCATCCTGGGGCTCTTGCTCCCTTGCACAGTAATGGGATTAACGTTTCCAGAGGGCAGATTAAGGGGCTCGGGTCCCACCCCGTTTCCCCTGTCACCATAGGTAATTCCTATCGAATGCATCTAAGATGTCACCGTGCAAATGCTACTGTTCAATGTTCATGATTTAACCTCAAACAACACAAATCGTAAGCATCCAGTAGAACATAAAAACTAATTGAACAAAATATTGTGTTGCTTTACACACACACACACACACACACACACACACACACACACACACACACACACACACACACACATGCACAGCTGAAATGGCTCCTACACTGAAGGTATATGTCAGGGTGATGTGGTATCGGTGCATATCGTATCAGAGTATTTTTACAGTCCCAATACTGTGACAGTAAATGTATCCGTACATCCCAAATTATTTACTTCTGTGTTGTTGCCGTAGCCTAGTTATTATGTCATCATATACTCTGACAACACTGTTAATTTCAATCTTTTACGCTGTGGTGATAGCCTCTCTCTCTAAAATATGTTTTTTCGTTTCTTGGTATGAACCATCTCTGTCTTTAACACGTAATTTCTCCTTCATGGCATCAGACCTGCATTGTGGGGGTAATAAAATGCTTATTTCAAATACAAATATAGTGACACATTTGAACAAAATTGTGTGGCTGTCACTCCCTCACCCAAATGTAGCCTCTGCATAAATTCACTACAGTTAACGTTATATGATGATTCATTGTTTTAAGTTGTTTTTGTGGGGCATGCACTGTCAGGATCAGGGGAAGAACACATAAACACACAGTTTAAAACAAAAAAGAAATAAAATCAGATAGGACAAACCGTGATTGGGGTCAGATGAGCCATCATTACACAAACTAACACAGAAAACAGGGCTGGTGAATCCTGAGTCATGAATGATGACGGGTGGCAGCACAGTTGCATACTTTACTCAATAGTGACCCCTAGTGTTTGTTAAGTGTACTGAATAAAATGCACACGAGCTGAATCAATGCATTTCATTTCGAATCCTTTTAGAATGGTCAAGATCATAGTCACACCAAATCATCAAAGAAATGTGGGGGGGGACACTTAAAAAGCAGCTAACATACAACATATTAGTGAGCTGTGGATAATCGGTTAATCTGAGAGTCTGCATGTGAGAAAAGACAGGTTATGGATTTTGGGGTCACTATTACCACCTCTAAGACCCCAAATCATAAATCCTGCGGTTTTGTGCAGGCATAACTGCGCAAACACCAATGTGGGTACTGTCTCTGGACCCTTTGCTTTGGAGTTTTCCACATGGCCCAGCTGGCAAAAGTTAGAGCAGTGCAACAATGCGCCTGCAGGACAGGCCAGTATGGGTCCATGATGAGGGCCCCTCGGTCCTGCTGAAAAGCTCCTATTGTCCGACTCCACCTCCATCAGAAGTCATTAATTATGGGCCGTGAAGCTCAGCTCAGTGCGAATAAGTCCAGCCTTCACACTCACAGCCCAACTCTCCTCCCTTGTCATGTTACAGCATTCAGAGACTGATGGGACCCAAGTCCCGCTCCCCTCCTCTGAACCCTTTTAATGAATCCAAGCTGACCGCTTAGCAAAGCCCCGTTACAACTTTTGCTGTTTTAGAACTGCACCTTGAGGCACGAGTAGGGAAAGGAAGGAAGGAATATGTATATCCTCAAAGGTATTTGCACGTATTTATGTTTGAAATAAGATTGTAATGGTTTTCATGTGGCCACTCTATCCCGTTCCATCTGTATAACCATCTATAGTGTCCAACCCGAGGGTGTAGATGACAAACATCATTTGAAATGTTGCCACGATAGCTTGAAAAACATGTCCTGCCATAAAATGAATAATCAAATCATTCCAACACAGTACACAGAAACTTTTTTTTTTTTACCAGGATGAATATATGAGTATATATGATCATGTCAAAATGCCACTTGTGTGCCAAATTCCAGTTGTGTGCTAATTCTTTACGGTATGTCACCATATTGTACCGTAATAAAACACAATAACATTGTGGAGCGATACAACACACAGAATAATGAAATGTCAATCAGGAGAAAGCATATGCTCATGTTATTGATTTGCAATGCGTGCTTGAAACGTCTTTAAAGTGACAACAAAGTATGTGATTTTGGATTGAAAAGCATTACAAAGACAAAAGCAAAACGACAAGATGATATAATGCAACCATAATTATATAATTGGGTTTCTTTGTTAGCAGGGGTTTCAAACTTAAGTCCCAGGGTGGGTTGGGGTGGCGCTTTTGTGCTTTAGATATTTCCCTCCTCCAGCACATCTGATTCAAATGATCAGGATCATTATCAGGCTCTTTTGCAGATGAGCTGGTCATTTGATTCCGCTGCGTTGGAGGAGGGAAACATCTCAAACATGCAAGAAAGCGGCTCTTGAGGACCGTTTGAAACCGCTGTTCTTTACAGTGTACTTTTTAAATCACCCCTGAGGGATGAAACAGTACATTACACATCCCTCAATAATGTGACACCACCCAAGATCAGTTATTCAATACAACCCGTGGTTTAACTGTAATCAAAGGGCCCCTCCCCTCTCGCCCCTGGAGTTTGATTCATTTCTTCACAGCAGTTTCTACACATCCACATCATAAAAGAGTGTCAAAACGCGCCACACAAGAGCTCATTCAGAGCAAGGAGGGCTCGGTTTGGCAGGATGTGTCCAGTCCGTGGCCAAATAGTGCGTTCCATCACGCAGGCCTTTGAGAAAATCCTGAGTAACTTTATATGCTGACAGTTTATGAGATCTGAGTTGAGTCAGACAAAGTCAGATAACATGGAGGTGACAGGGTGGAATTAAAACATTCGTGTAGCTGCCAGCTGTGAGCTAACTAATGATGATTTAATGGGAACCATATATACATTCGTGTTGGTTAAAATATATTAGTCATTGTGATCAAACTACTGTATGTCCTATCAATTCAACACTTTCTTCATTAATTTAATCCACTCTGCTATTAAGGGGGTGGGGGGGGGAACAAAGTATGTGAGAAACAAGCCACTAAATAAATATTGCGTGACATCTGGCGGATTGCAAACAGAGTTTGTCTGCAATGGTTTTCATATACCTGTAACTTGTCTTCATCACGCTGTTGCTTTCGCAAAAGTGTAAAAACAATCCAGACTCCTGCTCTAAATACTGTAGATGGCTGCACTACTTCTTGATGAATCACATGATGTTGATATCGATCTGTTCGCGTCACACGGCGATAAAACAGCAGGTACTGACTAATCTGGTGGGGCTTATAAACTGCATATCACACTTTGGATTGATTGTGATAGATATGACCCAAGTAAAAAGCAAGTCCAATATGGGACGACATGTAGAATAGAGAAAAGTTTGTACTGTTACTTGTACTGTTTGTACTTATTAAAGAAGCGAAATGAGTAGGAAGTTGTTAATGTCTTGAAATAGGCAAGGAAATTGAAAAAGGGCACTGACAGATCATAACGAGACTCCCCCCCTTTTACATCAGACATTCCTCTCCTCTTCTTCTCTCCTCCCTTGCTGACCTTCGCCTCACTTTTTTCCCCCAGAGAGAAGGTTACATAACATATTTCCAGAACCCCCTCCTTCAACACACACTCCAGCTACACTTCATCAGTTCCTGCCCCTCATTCAGTGCCCCCACCCCCAACACACACACACACACACACACACACACACACACACACACACACACACACACACACACTAGATTTCCTCTCCTAGACAGGGAACAGACTCCACGGACTCTGTAACACTTCACAAAACTTCTCATGCCTTCATTCTTCTCTTGCTTCTCTCTCTCTCTCTCTCTCTCTCTCTCTCTCTCTCTCTCTCTCTCTCTCTCTCTCTCTCTCTGCTCTTTCTCCTCCCCCTTTCTCCCCTTTCATCTCTCCAACACTCTGTTGCATTAATCTTTTTTTTTTGTCTACCACACTAACAATGGCTCTGTTTTACATCACTGATTGGAGATGTGACCCCACCCCTCTGTCTCTTTCTCTGCTCACTGTGTTTCCCATGATGCAGCGGTCATGGAAAAATGGAACCTCGACTTCACAGTTTGGAAAAGAGGTCATAGGCTGAGGTGCAGGAGGTTGACACAAAGGTCAGCCATGTCAGATGTGGGGGAACTGTGGGAGAGTGGTCTTTTTTTTTTTTTTTTTTTTAGAGGTTTAGGGAAATGGACAATAGAGCCCACTGACACCGCAGAGCAAAGAAGCCTGACATGAATGGCCAGTTTGATGGGATTTAGAAAGCCCTGTTAGGATACTGATGTATGGTACCGATTCTATTGGTGAAATTAATATGCAAACGATGCCTTTTTGTATCTGGAAAGCTATAGGTAAATGAAATCGACAACCCTGTGAAACACCAAAGTCATTTTTTTAGGTCTGCGAGACAACATGAAATGTAAGACGTCATTGATGTATTTAATTGTGGTGGGGCTCTATTAAAACCATAACATTATTAACCAGAGACCTTCAAATTAATCAATGTCATTTAATCAAATGAATGGTTTTACATTTTGGTCAATGAATACACATGCCGTATATGTGAACAAAATATCAAAATTCAATCAAATCCATCAGGCTACGAAATACAAAAATATTCTGGTGCCACTGTAGGAATAAGATGTCGAGCTAAATTTAAATTCTCATTTGATGTAGGCTGATTGGGTTCAATATTTGATGTTTGCTATAATCTGAGATTGTAAAATACCTCAGCACTGACTGGACTTTACATGCCTGTGAGCTCTGTCCCAATTCCCGTTAGTCGGGGCTTCCATGGCAAGTTCGTATATGCCCTCTGATTTGAGCCGATGCAGTAACAGTAGATGCTGAAAAGGTTTCCTCATAGTTCATCATCATGAGTTTGGATAAACCTTTCGAAAAGCAAAGTCAAGAAAAGCTGTTATGGCTTTGTTAGCTACTGGGCTCAGTCCACCACAGTCTGGGTGGCAGACTGAGGGCTAAGACTGACTCAGCTGAGAGCCTTATGACAGAGCGACGAGACCCGGTCGCCTCAAGTTTCGTCAGCATCTGATGAACAAGCAGAGGCAGTGGAGTGGATAGTCTAGACTGGCACAAAGTTTGTTCAGGCCTGGCATAGGCCTGTGGATCAAGTGAACTTCTTTCATATGAGCTGGAGTGGGTTCAGTGTGTAAGCTGTTCTGGGATGGAGCTCATCGTAGGACTTTGAAGAGGGAGGAGTTCTGGACTAAAGTACTAGCAATGGGTAGTGAGGGGAAATGAAAGGGTATCATATTTTGCATCTCTAAAAGACGGCTCTGACAAAAAGAGAGGCGCCAGCTCCCCTGCATGGACTAATAATGCATCACAGAACCCAAGTGAGGGGACCATGCTAATGAGGCCATAGGACAGAATAAGCTTCCAGCGGAATTGTGTGTGTGTGTGTGTGTGTGTGTGTGTGTGTGTGTGTGCGTGTGTGTGTGTGTGTGTGTGTGTGTGTGTGTTAATGAGAACTGTAGGTCCCCCTTTTCCCAGCAAAAGCCCCACTGGCCCGTTTTTCTATTTGGGAAACGGGGGCTGGGGTGGGGTGGAGGGGGCTCATTTCAGGGGGCACTGCCGATTAATGAAGGGCCACATACCAGTGGTTAGAGATGGTGGGGGTGGTAGTGGGTTGGGATTCCAAAAGACAAAGGTAAATCTAAAGGAAATGCAAATTCATGATTGGCTATATCAGATTGGGGGCAGGGAATGAAGCGACGACAAAGAGGCAGGGGCGTTGTGAGAGTAGAAGTGAAACCAAAGGCAAGCGTCTAGTGCGCAAGTGATATTTTGGGAAATGGGCTTAGAGCGCATGTTAGTGAGTGTGTGTGTGTGTGTGTGTGTGTGTGTGTGTGTGTGTGTGTGTGTGTGTGTGTGTGTGGGCACAGCTGAAAGTTGGAAACAAAGGCGGCCAGCAAGGCCCTGGTCCAGTGAGCCTCCAACACAGTGGAACTCAAGCTCCTGCTGCATGTTGCTGTAGTTTTAAATCTCAAAGCTGAGTCAACTGGATGGTGACATAAACCAATAAACCAATGGTTTTTTTAATGTTCAGCTTCAGGACCATGCCCCAAACAGTCAGTCCCGCCAGCATCTGTTTCTGGATTGCTGGTTGAAAAATCACATTTGCGGCAGCTTTTCTGAAAAGTTGCTACGGTTTTAGAGGGTTGCACTAAAAATGGTACAAAAAGAAGCAAGTATATCCATTCTAAAAGGAATGCATGAAAGCAGATGCTTTGATCCCATAATTAAGTGCAACCTAACACCACAAGAGAGTTTGCCAAAACAAGCCAATTAAAAAGTGATTTCTTTGTAAATAGAGCTGAAATTTCAGCTATGGAGAAAAAGTACTTGGTGCAGCAGCAAATGTGCATTATTTTAAAATGACAAATTTCAAGCATAGCAAATTTCTCAGAAAGTGAACAGTATCGTACTATTGTTGAGAACTGAAAGAAAAGAACAAACAATGACACCAAAAATTTAAGTTTTGTAGCTTTATGTATTTACCTACACCAATAAGGCGACTGTTCACAATGGTTCCGTTGCTGGCATCAAAGATTCTATTCTATTCGATTCTAATTGAATTCTTCTCACACTCACTATTCATCTGAGACATTTAACTTTGGCTTATTTATGGACTTGATAAATTCAT